GGGCTCTGAGCCATCAGCCCAGAGCCCGACGTGGGGCTCGAACTCACGGACCGCGAGATCGTGACCTGGCTGAAATTGGACGCTTAACCGACTGCGCCACCCAGGCGCCCCGAAATATATAATTTATATATTATATTTATGTATTACTTTGTTAATAGGTAATTCACCATCTGAAGCATTCTAAAAATAGAAAAGAAGATGATAGAATATTAATTTTATTATTCTAATTATTTATTCCATTATTGTCTCTTAATTCCAATATTCCCTTCCCATTTGGTAACCATTTTCTTAGCATAACAACAGTGAGTTAACCTTGTCTCCCAAATCAACTTGGGGATTAGTGTGTATCGCATGGAATGCACTCAGGGAAAGCCAGTCTGTCATATGATGGTTACATGGTTGTAAATTTCTGCTGGGTTTAAGGTACTTAAGTCACCCGCTATCTTATCTGCTATAGAAATCCCTCATTTCAAGCCCAGTCTCTGTGTAAGGGAGATAAAGATGCAGCAGGGGTTGATGGTATCCACACTGACTGGGGATATGTGTGTGTGTCTTTCAAGTCCCTTTAAGGTCAAGGTCCTTCCCACATATGATGCCAGCAAAGTGACTGCCAGTGGCCCTGGCCTCAGTTCCTATGGTGTGCCTGCCAGTCTACCTGTGGAGTTTGCAATCGATGCCAGAGATGCCGGGGAAGGCCTGCTTGCTGTTCAGATAACGGTAACTTTGAGTTATCTTCTAGGGTCCAACTTTATTAATAAAGACCTGATTTCCCGGCCAGGGATAAGAATAAGGTTTTAATAACCAATTTGTGGCCTGATGCAAGTGTTTGACAGTTTTGTTCTTTTTTTCCAACCAGAGAGTCAGTAATTGTGCCAGAGAACAAACAGGCTTGCCTGAGTGAGAGGTCTGAAGGGGTAGCTCCAAATACCACGTGTGGATGAATCTCATGTATTTTGATCTCTATTATATCTGTTCCTCTGTTTTTCTTTTAAAATGTTTTCAATTACTCATCGGATTAGTTAGGACTAAGCTTTGCTGCGTATCACAATATACCCGGCAAACAAGAGTGGCTTAAACACATGGGATTATTCCCTCTGTTTAAACAAGCCGGGAGGCAAGCCACCTGGGTGCTATATGGCTCCGCAGAGAAGCAGGCTCCATCTCTCTGCTCCTGTGTCCTGACTGTGGCTTCTGCTGGAGGCCTCCTCGTGGACCACGGGCCCTCTGATGCACATGGCAGGCTGGAAGGAGGAAGAGGAGCAGCAGGGGAAAAGGGGACTTTCGAGTCAATGAGCCACTTCAAGCAGCCCTGTGTACTTCCACTTCTCTTGCATTTACTGGAACTTTGTCACAAGTCACATGGCCATACCTGGTAGCAGAGGATGCTAGGAGGTGGGAGCAGTGCACCCAGCCAAGAATTGGGCACCTTTTACTAAAGAGAAAAGGGAGAGAGTGGATGTGGTGGTGCAAGTGCAGGAGCCCTCTTGTCTCCCTGTATTTCAGTGGATCCGGAGCTCAATCACTACTTGTTCACTTGACCGAAAAATTCCTAAACGTTGACCATGTCCATATGGTGTTAAAGAGATCTGTGACGGGGCGCCTGGGTGGCGCAGTCGGTTAAGCGTCCGACTTCAGCCAGGTCACGATCTCGCGGTCCCTGAGTTCGAGCCCCGCGTCAGGCTCTGGGCTGATGGCTCAGAGCCTGGAGCCTGTTTCCGATTCTGTGTCTCCCTCTCTCTCTGACCCTCCCCTGTTCATGCTCTGTCTCTCTCTGTCCCAAAAATAAATAAACATTGGAAAAAAAATTAAAAAAAAAAAAAAAAAAAGAGATCTGTGACTCTTTCTTCTCCCTAGCCCCACCCCCCAAAAAGATTGTATTAAGCCAGTAATCCTGTCTCTTCCTGAAGAGGGGTGCAAATCAATGAGCAGAGTGTGTCTCGGTTTCCCATGAATGGTTTCTGCATCTTGATGACAACATCTTAAATAGCATTTCTCTGTGATTCCCAGGACCAAGAGGGAAAGCCCAAAAGAGCCACTGTCCACGACAATAAAGATGGCACGTATGCCGTCACCTACATCCCTGACAAGACCGGACGCTATATGATTGGGGTCACCTATGGGGGGGATGACATCCCATTGTCTCCCTACCGCATCCGGGCCACACAGACAGGAGATGCCAGCAAGTGTCTGGCCACAGGTGAGTGCAGGTCAAGGTCAGGAGTGTGGGCTTTGGAGTCAGAAAGCCAAGGGCTAGCCCGTCTCTACCACTTAATAGCTACGTGATTAGGGCAGGTTGCTCAACCACCCTGAGCTTCAGTCAGACTCAGATAGAAGATCTTTCTGAGAACATTTGAATTCAAGAAACTCTTCTCAGGATCAGAGATAGTTTTGCAGGGTTATTGCAAAGATCAGATGAGGTCAGGCATGAACAATGCTTAGCACGGTGCCAGGCGCATGGAAGCTATTATTATGTTACTTTTGAAGTGGGCGCTTTGGTTGAGAGATAGTGGCTCCCATGAAAAGCTGCACATCTGTGCCTCCCTTTCATGAGTCAATGGTTTAATTATTTAAGATTTATTCAAGAGCATTTCGGGTCAGCGTTAGAGAAACGCGTTCAGGGATCTAGGTTTTTTCCTTAGCACTGGAGACTGTGCCTGTATCTCTCAGAATGTCTCCAGGAATACATTTGAGCATCATACTTCCTTCAGTTTCTAAGACATGAAGACCATCATGGGCCCTTCCGTTTCTAAGAACAGCTCTTGCTACTCTGATGCTACTGCACCAGATTCCTCAACATGAATTCCCATCTCTGAGATGAAACAGATTTGCTTCTCTTTACATCACACATAGGTCCACTGTGGATGTGTTCTATTTCTCTCCCATCTTCTCTTGTTCTGAATGGGGAAAAACTTTTGGCTTTTAGAGCAAGTTGTAAACTCCTCAACTTGGCAATTTTGGGCTCAAAAATTGAGAAATTTTGAAATACTGGCCAGTCCAATTTGCCACCTCTTAGGTCTGTGCTGTGCCAGGTACAACTAGATTGCCTTTGCTAACCTGTGGGAGTGATGATACTGGGTGTGGACTTACTCCCTGCTTTCCAGGCCCTATTCCCTCCTTTGCTGGGGCGGAATCCTGAGCAGAATATTCTCAGCCTGGGGGCTCTCGGAGGCCACAGTTCTCTGTCTGTCATTCAAGACCTTCCACAAATTGGCCCCAGGCTTCCTTCTACTACTCACTGTCTGAGCAACATGTTCGTAGCACTCCCTGTTGCTTCTACACACTTGGAGGGTTTTTTAAATTGTTTTGCCAGTGTGCTTTTAGTTCACTCTTCTACACTTCCTGATATGTGGATCCTGTATGAAGGGGTGCCACAAGTCAGACAGATAGAGACTAGTCATGGTTTGGAGACAGAGGTTCTATGTCTCCCCTAGCCAAGAGTACCTGTCCTTCAGAATTCAGCCATTCCCCTTATCTCAAAAAGCCCTTTGTCAATGTGGCAACCCTGGGATATACATTCTTAGGACTTTATTTATAGAGATGTACTACAGGACTCTTCTCTGAAGAACAATTGATAATTTTTTCTGTACTTAGCTCCTCCTCCGCGTTTCCACAATACATTGAGCTATCATTCCTGGTGCCTGGCCTACATCTGCCTGCCTGTTAGGTTAGGAACATCTTGAGAGCAGGGACTGTGTTTGGATCACTTTGGTGTGTACCTTGCCCTTAAGAAAATGCCCAGTATATATTTGTTTAGGGAAGTTGACCGTCATCCCCATACCCTTGAATGCTTGAACCTTGAATCACCCACATGAATGTGAGATTTGTTCTCGGGCCTCCAGGGCCCTTGTCTACAGCTAGAGCTTCCATTTTCTTCCCCTGAACTTTTCTACAGGTCCTGGAATCGCCTCCACTGTGAAAACCGGCGAGGAAGTAGGCTTTGTGGTTGATGCCAAGACCGCTGGGAAGGGGAAAGTGACCTGCACGGTTCTGACCCCAGACGGCACCGAGGCTGAGGCCGATGTCATCGAGAACGAGGATGGCACCTACGACATCTTCTACACGGCTGCCAAGCCAGGCACCTATGTGATCTATGTGCGCTTTGGCGGCGTTGATATTCCCAACAGCCCCTTCACTGTCATGGTAAGGAAAATTCCTTCCCTAGAGCACTCTGCTAGGATAGAAATAGTAACAGCTGCCATTCGTTAAATCCTGGCTAGAACATCCCCTTCCAGTTTTTTTCTTCAAAAAATTTTTCTTAAGTAGTCATGACCTTATAGAGTCCTAGAATAATCTCTAGAAATCCAGAGACCCTTGGCTCTAAGAGTTTTTAAGGAACCTTATTGGCCACCAAAGTATCTGTCATGCTAAGGGTCTTAAGCAATATCCTGGCCTAAGCCCAGCTCAGAAAGATACACTTTGACAGAAAATGTTTGTAAGTAAAACATCACATTTTTTATTCTGCTTATTCTCCTCCTTCCTCCTCCCTCATGTCCACGGCCTTGAGGAGAGAGGTTCCTGATGCCGTTATGTCTGCAGACTTGACTTGTATCCCAGGACACAAAGTACCTCCAGTTTTGTTTTGGAAAGATTCAGATTTTGCATAGGTGCGGGAAATAGCATGTCTTTTGAATAGTAACACCTGGTGCAAAGGGAAACCATTATGTGGGCCTCTGGGCCAGAGAATGGTGAGGTTCTTTAATTTTCAGCGAGTGACTTTTGGACCTTCCTCTGAAGGTCCTTCAGCCAAGAAAAGATTAGAAATCTCATTTGACCTTGAGAAAACCAAGCATTGTTGGCCCTTTTGCAGGTGAGGTATAGGAACAAGGCTCAGGCTCAAGTTCACTGAGCCCAGAGTGCCTGCTGTGGACAGCCACCAGGTGCTATGGGTCTCCCCTTACACAGTGTCCTTTGATGCCATGGGCAACAGCGGTGCTCAACCACAAAGTTCTTATAAGGCCTCTGTGACTTGGCCCCACACAGCCTGTGAAGCCCCTTCTCACGATTTCACTTTATGTAGCGATAGAGAAGAGACTACATTCCAAAGAGAAGGCCATGCCTCCCATCCAAACAGTCTGTAATCTATTGCAGCCCTTTTTCCCCCTTTCCGTAGATATTTGTTTATCTGTAAACATTCTGCCAAGAATCTGGAGGCTCCTTTTTGTCTCAAGGATGTAAACCCTTGTCAACTTTGAGCCTGTTCATTTGGGAGTGTTTTTCTCCTTCAATAGAAAAGGGTGAGAAGAAATGCAGCTAGAGAGTTTATATCCTTATTTCCAGAGAAGGGCCCCAGTTACAGTTTTAAGAATCCGTTTTAGCCTGTAGCAGGTTTTATCTGGTGAATTAGAATATATAGGCATCATGGAAGAGTGGTCCCCGGGCCTTGCTGGTGCAATGAGCTAGGCAGAAAAGGGCAGTCACCCACAGTACCTGGTTTGGGTCTTTATTCTCCTGTTCCAAGCTTTCTCCAGCCTTACCTAGATAGACTTTCTTTGTATGTGGATTCCCTGCCTCTCTCTACAGACTTGTGGCCAAAAGGACATGAACACACAGTACTGCCTTCACAGCTCATGTATCAGGGAGGCCCAGCAGGCTGGTTCAGTTAAATACATCATGAAGCCAGCTTATCTGCTCATCACTGTTGAGAATGGATTGAAGGCCATAGCGTGGCCATTGAAAGATCGTCCTCCTGGCCAATTTGCCCCTGCATGGCCCCACGGTATAAGAGAGCCCTAGAAGATGGGGAGAGGGCTGTTTCAAAAATTGAAGCCTTTTTAAATGAAGTCCCCTTTCCGCAGATGCCAAAATACAAAGGAGTAAATGCAGGCATGTAGGCCTTCCTCCAGGGGGTGGCCTTCCAGTTCGTTGTTGACTGTGGTAAAAGATGATCCCTCCCTTATCAGGTCGATTGGAACATGAAGTCTGTGGTTTGAAGCAAAAATGAGCTTATAAAGACTTTTAACACATTAAGACCATGGACCCTTACCAAATAACAGGAGACCACTTTTCCAGTTTCATGCCACAGAAGTGACTAGCGTTCATTTTTCCCATTTGCACAACACACACATCAACTTCATGCGTGGGGTCACATCATACACATTGCTTTGTAACTTGCTTCCGTCCCTCAGGGTGTCATACGTACCCTTCCACATTAATTCATCAGACTTGGTAGCTTCTTCAGGTGTACAGGTTTACATAATTTACTTACCTGACTCCCTGCCAGTTGGACGTTTTAGGTTAGGTCATGTTCTCATGACCATCAACAGCTGTGGTAAAACGCCTTGCATACATCACTTACCTGTGGACTTGCCTGCTAGCATGTCGATAGGCCTGCTTCATAGAGGTGGGATCATGGGTTCAAAGGGCATGTGGATTTGACCTTTGAAGAAAGGATCCCACTCGCTCTCCACAAGGGGAGAAAGAATGTAGGCTCCCGCTGGAGGGAGTGGCTCCCTGCTATGCAAGACGGAGCAGATGGGGAGGAAGCCAGCCTCAGGTTGTAGCATCTAAGTAGCAATGTCCCTTCAATGTGATTCCCAACTAATCTCCATTTGCCACTGACCAGGCCACAGATGGGGAAGTCGAGGCCGTGGAGGAGGCACCGGTAAATGCATGTTCCCCCGGATTCAGGCCCTGGGTACACTTTTTTTTTTTTCTCCTTTTTGCGTTTCTGTGTTTACTCAGCCTTCATTTCAGAAAAGCTGCAGCCTGCTTCTGGGGATTGCTTCAGCCCTCTGGGTGTCCTGGTCATTGGTTTGTCCCCCACTGATCAGTCCGTCACAATGATCCCCGCTTCCTCTGTAATGAGACCCACCCGTGTCATCGTATGCGCTCCACGAATCTCCAGCCGTCATGTCTGTGATCACGCTCGGTGTAGCCTGTCTCCGCGGTTCAGAGAAAGATGGGCCATCCTCAAGCCCTCCTGCTGACTCTCAGCCGCCACTAGCACATTTGGTTTCTGTTCACGGGGAAAGCCACCCGCTGCTACTTTCTGCCACTTAAAACGCACCTTCTTTTCCAGGCCACAAGCAACTAAACCTTTCCAGGTGGAGCCTCTTGGGACTCAGACATTGCTGTCTCTGACTTTTCCACTGTCCCGTGAGCACTGCTGGGAATTTTACAAGCAAACTGCCTAGTGATTTTTAGCAATTGGTCAGCATGACTTCTCCAGTCCTTCAGGTCCTGCTCTGGCCCTGGGGGCAGCTAGACTAAGCCCGTCCTGTACGGGCAGCCATGTCCCCACACCCCGGCTGCACTAGCTTGCAAAATTCCCAGTTGCTCTCTGCCCTCTGCTGTTTCATTGGCCCACACGGTTGTCCACTTTACCCAGTGACCACTGCTTCCTGTTTTTAGGTAACCGAAGAGGCCTATGTCCCAGTGAGTGACATGAACGGCCTGGGCTTTAAGCCTTTCGACTTGGTCATTCCATTTGCGGTCAGAAAAGGAGAAATCACCGGTAAGCACTGTCATGAAAGCCGCTTTGTTCTCACTCACTTGCACTAGCTTTCCAGAAGGGTGCCTGGGAGGTGGTTCCACCTGTCCCCGACACCTGGGGTCCTGAACCTAGCACCCCTGTTTCTTGCTGTGGGGGATCAGTCCATGAGCCCCTGAGATTACGACTGTCGGGTTCCTGTTCCTCCTTTTTTCCTGCCTTCTCTTATTCTTGCACCTTTCCAGATATGACATTGACACTGAAGCCTATTGTACAAGAGTTTCTTTCTCTTCTAGCCTCCTTTTAATGCCTCATTCTCTTTGAGTTGATACTCTGCTAATTCTCCTGGCCTTGTGGTCTTTTCTAGTCTTGTGTGAGCTTCTCATTTGTCAGAACAAAAGTAAAAAACTCTTTACTTGAGTTGCCTGCTGCATTTGTAGAAGAAAAAGGGAACAAAATAAAGGCAAACGTGTCTGTTTTCCCATTGTGGATCTTGGATGCTTCAGGCAGCAGTGAGTGCTCTTGCCTCTGAAGGCCACCTGGGCCTTTGTGCTCAGCTTCTCCGGGGGAAGCCCCTGGTGGGCTCATGGCTCTCTCTTCCTGTGCTCTAACAGGAGAGGTCCACATGCCTTCTGGGAAGACAGCCACGCCTGAGATTGTGGACAACAAGGACGGCACAGTCACCGTCAGATACGCCCCCACTGAAGTCGGGCTGCATGAGATGCACATCAAATACATGGGCAGCCACATCCCTGGTGAGTCAGGCTCGGCACCTTGGCCAGCACTCCCTGCAGGACAACAAGACTTGGGCCTGAATGTCTGGGAGGTTTGCAGAGACGTTCAGTTGGCTGCTATGTGGGAAACAGTTCTCGGTGGCAGAATCGGGAAGGCAGTGTCGGTGTCCCTGTGAAACCAAACAGCCCGTGACCCCAGCAGATCCAGCCACTCTCCAGAAGGGACAATGCAGCTAAGCATCCTGGGTCACAGTTCAGGCCCTTAGCTTCATGATTGTCTTTGTCACTATGCCGAGTGTGGCCACAGGGTGAGCTGGGAGAAAAATGTGAGGCGCACGAAGGGACTTTCCAGCCTGGCCTACAGAGCCCTATGGAGTGTGGGGTTTGGGGGCGGGAGAGAGAACAAGCTGCTTTATGTTCACAGTGCCCTTGACAAGGAAATTCAGCTCAGATTTTGTGTCCATCAACCAGCACAGTGTTATTCTTGTTTTTTTTTTTTTAAATTGTTCAAATGGTTCTCTATTTTTAAATTTAATATTTTGAGTAGGCAACATCTCCACATAGTTTAAAAAATGATGTGGGGAAAAGTTTCCTTCCCACCTGTATCGCCACCTGACCTCTCCTTGAACCTGACTACTGTTAATTTTTTATGTTGGATATCAGAACATTTTTAAGACTCTATAAACAAATGGGAAATACAGATTCTTTTCAAAAAAAAATTTTTTTTAACATCTATTTATTTTTGAGAGACAGAGAGCGTAAGTGGGGGAGGGGCAGAGAGAGAAGCAGACACAGAATCCAAAGCAGGCTCCAGGCTCTGAGCAAGCTGTCAGCACAGAGCCCGACACGGGGCTCGAACCCCCGAACCACGAGATCATGACAGCTAAAGTTGGATGCTCAACCAACTAAGCCACCCAGGTGCCCCTAAATTTTTGTTAGTGTTATTTATTTATCTTGAGAGAGAGAGAGCACAAGTAGGGGAGGGAAAGAGAGATTGAATCCCAAGCAGGCTCTGCACAGTCAGCACAGAGCCTGGTGCAGGGCCTGAACTCAGGACCCATGAGATCATGACCTGAGCCTAAATCAAGAGTCGGACGTTTAACTGACTGAGCCACCCAGATGCCCCAGGAAATATAGATTCTTAAGCCCTTTCCCACTTATGCATAAATAGTAGCATACACTACACATGGCTCTGACCTTGCCCTTTCCAGTCTAACTGTATATCCAGGAGAGTTTTGCGTGTCCTAATGATAGAGCATGTCTCACCGTTTGGATAAACCGTGATAGATTTCACCCTTCCCCCCATTGGAGAACATTCAGGTTCTTCTCTCCCTTTTGCTGTCGCTAGTCAGGCTGCAATGAATGGCCTTTATTCCATCATTTCACTCTCATGAAGGTATATCAGTGAGATTTAGTTCCCAGGGTAGGAATTGCTGGGCACAGGTATAGACATCTATCATTTTGATCGATCTTGCCAAATTGCCCTTCAGTGGGGCTCCCCCAATTCAGACACCCACCAGCAATGTAGACCAGCACCTGCTTTTCCACCAGTTTGCCAGTGGAATAATAGGCTGTCAGATTTTTGGATCTTGGCCACACTGACAGTTCAAAAACCAGTATCTTTGTGTTGCTTTATTTGTATTTCCCTTGTGAATGAGAGTGAGCAACTTTCTGTATGTTTAAGGACTATTTATATTTTTCTGTGAACTGAGCACTTATTTCCTTGGCCAGGTTTTTCCATTTGGCCATTGGCCAATATTCTGTATTGGCTTTGTCATAACAGTTTCTGAGAGCAAATTAAATGTTGGAGAGATTAGCCCTTTGTGATAGAAGTTAACAAATATTTTTCCCAGCTTGATATGTTTGTTGTGGTTCATGCATACATGTGTGCATAATGTTCGTTTAAAGTGAAAACATATTATCTACTTTTATCTAAATATTCTAAAGATGCAGATGTAGAGAAAGTAAAAAAATGTCTTCTCCCATTCCCTTCTACTTCCACTGCTGGGGTGTGTATCTTTCCAGATGTTTCTCTCTGTGCCTACCTACATGCATACATAAATTTGTTCTTCCAAGGAAATGAGATAATGGCATTAATATTATATAGCAACTTGCCTTTTTCTCTTTTTTATTTTTATTTTTAGAGAGTATGAGAGAGCATGAGCAGGGGATAGAGGCAGAGGTGGGGTCGAGGGAGAGAGAGAGAGAGAAAATCTGAAGCAGGAACTCAGCACAAGCCCTACACAAGATTTGATCCCATGACCCTGGGTTCATGACCTAAGCTGAAATCAAGAGTCGGATACTTAACCAACTGAACCACCCAGGCGCCCTTCCTTTTCCTCTTTATAATGAGACACATTATAGATAATCTCTCAAGTATAATATACACAGATCTCCCTCATTGTTTGTTTTTTTTAATGTTTATTTTTGTGAGAGAGAGAGAGCCCGCTCATGCACACACATCCATGGGGGAGGGGCAGAGAGAAGGAGAGAGAGAATCCTAAGCAGGCTCTGTGTTGTCAGGACAGAGCCCAACATGGGACTCAATCCCATGACCCTGGGATCATGACCTGATCTGAAATCAAGAGTTGGACGCTTAACTGACTAAGCCACCCAGGCGCCCCATTCCTCATTGTTTTTAATGAACTGCACAAGTAGACCAATGTTTATTTAACTGACCCCCTATTGTTGGACACTGCAGCCTTTTCCTAATTTGGATCTGGGCACTGTGGAAATGAAGTCCTTGTACAGGACTGGGAGCAGGGTGGGGAGAAAGATTTCTAGGGATACATTCCTAGGGGCCTCACGGGGCCTTATATTTTGAAAGCATGGTAAATGGCCTTCCCAAAAGACCTTTCCAGTTGTGTTCCCTCCAGTAGTGGGTCATTTTTCCACATGGCCAGATGTTTCCTCCTTATTGGTTAAGTTGAGCTGCACTGCCCTGCTTGGGCCCCCCTCTAGACTGGAGCAACCTTGGGATTGTTTTTCTTGTGCAGTGATTGAAAAAATGGCAGCGAGGAGACCTGTTGGGTGTCCCAGCATGGTGAACTCTACTGGAGTCTCCTTTTTTTTTTTTTTTTTTAATTTTTTTTAATGTTTATTTATCTTTGAGAGGCAGAGCGAGAGTGAGGGAGGGGCAGAGAGAGAGAGGGAGACAGAATTTGAAGCAGGCTCCAGGCTCTGAGCTGTCAGCACAGAGCATGACACAGGACTCAAACTCACGAACTATGAGATCATGACCTGAGCCGAAGTCGGACACTTAACCAACTGAGCCACCCAGGTGCCCCTGGAGTTTCCTTTCAATTTCTGCCTCTGTGTAGGAGATACCAGCCTTGCTTGCTATTAGGTGAATGTTAAGACACTGGTTGTCCAAGGTATGCATTTGTCCCTCCATGAGTCCCCCTCAATTTTGTGTTCTTTGCAAACCCAGAGAGCCCGCTCCAGTTCTACGTGAACTACCCGAACAGTGGAAGTGTTTCTGCATACGGTCCAGGCCTGGTGTATGGAGTGGCCAACAAAACTGCCACCTTCACCATCGTCACCGAGGATGCAGGAGAAGGTACTATGTGGTTATGTGGTTTTATGCTTCTGGCCATCCATTTGGAGAGTTAGGTGGACACATTTCCAGGGTAGCTTTTGTTTGTTTGTTTGTTTGTTTGTTTTTGGGAGGGGAGAGAGAGAGCATTAAGGAGCAGGGGAGGGGCAGAGAGGAGGTAGAGAGAGAGAGAATCTCAAGCAGGCTCCTTGCTGTTAGTGTGGAGCCCACCACGGGGCTCAACCTCACAAACTGTGAAATCATGACCTGAGCCAAAATCAAGAGTCAGATGATTAACCAACTGAGCCACCCAGGTGCCCCGTTTTTCATAAATGTCTTGTGTACAGCTGCTCTGTCTTACCCAAAACAGAACTTCTGAAGTCCTCTATGTTCTGATCGAAATCAGATTGATTATATGAAATGTTTTATGTGACTTGCCTGAAATTTAAGCATGTTTTGGGAAAATGATGGTTTTGCATTTGTTCTATCTTGCACATGTACAAATATCAAGTGGACTGACTACATGTGTTACCACCCATTCCAGATAAAGCTCTATGCCTATGACCATTGTCATCGTGGAGACTTCTAAATTTGTGATTCTTTTTTTTTTTTTTTTTTTTTTAAGATTTTATATTTAAGTAATCTCAACACCTGATGCAGGGCTCAAACTCACACCCCTTAGATCAAGAGTCACACGCTGCACCTACTGAGCCAGCCAGGCGCCCACCCAGGGATTTTCAGGATGGCATCCAGTGCCCAACCAACAGGGCTGTGTGTGTGTGACTCTCCCATACGCATGATTGGTGTGTAGGATGCTATTCCTTTCACGTCCCAAATATCCTTAAGAATAGAGAGAACTTCAGGGTCATTTGTAGTGAAGAAATCAGATGGTGGAGTGTCTTTCCAGTGGACAATTTTACCACGTGAACTGCTTTGTTCTGACGTGCCCCTGGCCTGTGGCTCCTGTGGCGTGTGTCAGTCTGTTGTTCCTCACATGGGGACTGCCCTGGATGAGGTGTGATCCCTGTTGAAACAAGGAATCTGTGTCTCCCTAAAGGTTCTCCTTCCTTCCTCCCATCCACAGGGGGCCTAGACTTGGCTATCGAGGGACCTTCAAAGGCCGAAATCAGCTGCATTGACAACAAAGATGGGACATGCACAGTGACCTACCTGCCCACCCTGCCAGGTGACTATAGCATCCTGGTCAAGTACAATGACAAGCACATCCCTGGCAGCCCCTTCACGGCCAAGATCACAGGTAAGGTCACCTGGCTTGCCGGGGGGCTTCCTGGAGGTATGGGGAAGTATAGCTGCCCTAACAGCCTCTCTCCCCATCAGACCAGCAACAGGAGGCTAGGCCTCTACATGGAGGTTTCACACAGACTCCTTAGGAAGGAATTGGGGTGTAAAATCACCGTTGGGTTGGCCTAATTCCTCCCTTACCTGGTAATCCAAGGAAAACCAAGCAGTGCCATTCGGAGGGCACTTTTTTTGTGCCAGTCTGACTGCAGCCTGCAAATAGCAGGCCCTCAGATAGAGGCATTCAGATACCTATTACATGGCTACATGGACCCAAAGATGCCCTTCAGCATCACTACTAGATAGATTTTCTCTCCATTTTACAGATGGAAAAACTGATGCTTGGAGAGACAGTGGCTTAGCCAAATTCAGACATGGGTATTCTGGGATTCAGATACACGTTATCTGATTCAAAGCCCACACTCCTAATGTCTGTTGTGCTGGCTGTGTTCATACCACGCTATCAGTGGGTTAAAAAGGAGATATGAGGGGCGCCTGGGTGGCGCAGTCGGTTAAGCGTCCGACTTCAACAGCCAATTCACGATCACTTATCTCATGAGTTCCTGAGCCACGTCGGCCTCTGGGCTGGTTTGGCTCAGAGCCTGGAGCCTGTTCGAGTTTGAGTTTCCGATTCTGTTCTGACCACCTCTCTCTTCTGCCCTCTCTCCCCCCGTTCATTCTGCTCCTCTGTTTATGTTTGTCTCTCTCTGTCCCAAAAAAAATAAATAAGCGTTGAAAAAAAAAATTAAAAAAAAAAAAAAAGAAGGAGATGGGGGGCACCTGGGTGGCTCAGTCAGTTAAGCTTCCAACTTCGGCTCAGGTCATGATCTCACGGTTTGTGAGTTCGAGCCTTGCGTTGGGCTCTGGGCTGACAGCTCGGAGCCTGGAGCCTGCTTCAGATTCTGTGTCTCCCTCTCTCTCTCTGTCTCTCTCTCAAGAATAAATATAACAAACATAAAAAAAATATTTTAAAAAACATTTAAAAAGGAGATAGGAAAGATGAGGTTCTTATCCCTAAGTTGTTTAGACCTGTCTATTAAGCAGTCAGCAGTCTTGTGTAGAAGATGATGAGTACTCACCTGAAGAATGCCCGAGACAATGGCAGACAGGTGACAGGTGCCTCCCACTGGCAAAGACTCCTTTAAAAAGTGGTCTGAGAAGACTCAAATTCCCAGTGCCTGCCAGTTCCCTTCAACCAGACGTGATTAGCAATCATTCATTGTTGGTTAGGTCTGCTTATTGTTCAAGACAGGTCTTTTCAATTAACTTTTGGTAATTAATTCTCACCTGATCATCTGTAAATGGCATGTGGAATGAGGGCTCCAGAGAGCTGGGGAGACCCACATGTAACAAGAGCCGCATTTGGGGGGGCTGTTTCCCAGATGACAGCAGACGGTGCTCCCAGGTAAAGCTGGGCTCTGCTGCCGACTTCCTGCTTGACATCAGCGAGACCGACCTCAGCACCCTGACGGCCAGCATTAAGGCCCCATCTGGCCGTGACGAGCCCTGTCTCCTGAAGAGGCTGCCCAACAACCACATCGGTGAGCCCAGGCCACCTTCCTGGCTGGAGCTGGGTGGGAGATGGGCATTCCCCTAGTCCGGTCCTGGGCAACTGGTAGCACATTAGAGTATGAGGTGATAAACCTTCTGGGTCACACGTGATAACAATCTGAGTGCGATTCTGCATGGCGATGTCAACCACGCTCTTGGATGCTGGCGAGTCAGGAGGGAAGTCCTGCTTCCCTTCTTGTGAGTGTGTCTCCCTCCCCCCTCCTCTCCTTCATCCTGTTCTCCCACCTTACAAACCCGAAGCTTTGCTCTGGTACAGGCATCTCCTTCATCCCCCGGGAGGTGGGTGAACACCTGGTCAGCATCAAGAAGAACGGCAGCCACGTGGCCAACAGCCCCGTGTCCATCATGGTGGTCCAGTCTGAGATCGGTGACGCACGCAGAGCCAAAGTCTATGGCCGTGGCCTGTCAGAGGGCCGGACTTTCGAAATGTCTGAATTCATCGTGGACACAAGGGATGCGGGTATGTGGGGATGCTCCCAGGAAAAGGCCCAGAGCTCACAGGAGTGATCTTTTTGCTTCTTTTCGTTTTTCCATCCTACCATCTTCCTTTTCTTTCTTAGCATCTCTCTAACTGTATGTAGGTCCTTATATGTGCGTTATCATTTAAGTCCCATGAGCCTCAGTGAAGTGGGAATTATATGCATTTTCTAGATGAAGAAACAGGCTTCTAAGAGTTAACAGCCCATCTGCTTCTGGCATTTGGATCCAGAGTCAAAACAGTTCACAGATCTCTGTCATTATGTGTACTCCCGCCATTCTCTGCAGCTTTTCCAGGGTCTCCTCGACTCAGCCCAAGCAAAGGAGGTTGGTCCAGCTGGCCAAGATTGTGTCAGCTGAGGGATGCTTTCGTGGAAATATGGAATCTCTTCCTGTTCCCTCTTTAAAATGGTTTGAATTTGGTTGGCCCTCTCCAAACTATGCCACATGACAGTATCTTCATTTTCTGCCTTCTTGAGTGATGGTCACATTGGTGACTTCTAGACAAAGTCACAGTCCCACGGAAGAGGCTAGAGACTTTCTGGTCCTGGTGAGTTGATGCTCTTTGTTGTTTCTTCAGGTTGTTAACCTTCAGATCTGCTGTCTTAATGGTTCCCTGGCTGGACATCTGAGGCACCTTGGGAGCAGTTTAAAAATTCAAATGGTCAGGCCTACAGCCGGTGATTAATACATGCCATTCTTGGAGGCGTGTGGCCAGAGTGGCTTTCCCAGTGGCTTCTGTGGGACAGGTGCTCTGTGGGATATTAATAGATACCCTTGAGAGGCTGCAGGTGGCTGAGCCAGTTGAGTGTCAGACGCTTAGTTTCAGCTCAGGTCATGATCCCAGGGTCATGGGCTCGAGCCCCCATGTCAGGCTCTGAACATGGAGCCTGTTTAAGTTCTCTCTCTCTCTCTTGCTTCCTCTCTCCTTGCTACCCACCCCTCTCCCTTGCTTGCTCACTCTCTCTAAAAAAAATTAAAAAATTAAATGGATATCATTGAGAAAAGAGTTCTATGGTCAAAGCCACGCTCAGCAGGGTTTTTCACTACAGGATTTCTCAGAGCTTTTAACCTGCTCCTCTGTCTGGGGCTGCCTACGTTACTGTCTTTCTGACATCTGGAAATAGCGGTTCGCATTTCCAGAGCCTGATGTCCTTGCTGCATGCATGGAACCCCCTACCCCCAGTGAGTTGCAGTCCCATCAGCTCTGGGCCACGGTGTTGCAGGTTATGGTGGCATATCCTTGGCTGTGGAAGGCCCCAGCAAAGTGGACATCCAGACAGAGGACCTGGAAGATGGCACCTGCAAGGTCTCCTACTTCCCCACTGTGCCTGGGGTTTACATCGTCTCCACCAAGTTTGCTGATGAGCACGTGCCTGGTGAGTCTGGTCCCCTCTGCCCTCCCCGTCTGACACCTAGGTTTTCTGTAAATGCTGTGCCTCAGCCTATCTGGGCTGCTCACAAGGGTCTTCTTGGTTCTTGCAGGGAGCCCGTTTACCGTGAAGATCAGCGGAGAGGGAAGAGTCAAGGAGAGCATCACCCGTACCAGTCGGGCCCCGTCTGTCGCCACTGTCGGAAGCATCTGTGACCTGAACCTGAAAATCCCAGGTGAGTATGAGTTGTTTAGGGGTCAGGGCGGTAGGCGCCACTAGAAACCACGTCCGGGTGTGACCTAGAACATACTAAGTCCTCTATGGGTGACTGCTTTTAAGTAAGTAAGTATTGTATTTATTTATATTTTTAATACTGTTTTTACAGAGCCCCACCTGAGAAAAAAAATCTGCTTACCTGCCACCTTTTTGCTCTTCTGAATGAAAATAGCTTTACTGTGTCACATGGGGGGAAGATAAATAAGCTTTTAGATTTGAATTTACTCTCTGTCGAATAGAGTCAGGTCAGTGAGAGAATTGACCCTGCTGATGCCAATATTTGGAAGTATTTCAGAAGTGTCAGCCTTATGGCATCCTCCCAAAGTTAGTTCTTCCCTTCCATCCCTAAAATGAGAGTGGAGACTGGGTGGGTGGGCCACATTCAGCCCTTTGGCCGTGAACTGTGTAAACAGACACTTCAGTCTGTCTGAATGTGGCCTGGGGTTCCTTCTATAAAGAGACGTCACTGTGAGTGCAGATTCTGAGGGTCCTCTGCCCAGAGTCTGGCACACACTATATTGTTGGACAGATCCTGTGGCACGGAATATCTATAGAGTCTTCATGAAGACTCATGAAGCTCATGGTGTGATCTGGAGAGGGGGCCGTTTCTCCTACACTGCATTTCCCCTTTTTCCGAACTTGTCCCATGTCTACTTACCTTGCCTTCTGAGCAGTCATTGGCGGGTGGCAGGTTCTTCCTAAGCAGAGGCACAGTCGTCACATGAGAATATGGGGAAAGCCTCATTGCTGCAGTGTCCACACAGAATCACTTATTAGAGCTAATGCCTTGTGATCGTGAAAAGTTCACATGTTCAAAAACGAGGAAAGTAAGTGTCACCTCATCCCCCAACAACCGGGGGGATGGGGAGGTTGAGGTTCACATCTGAGGCCCGGAGCTGAACCCTGATTGCCTCCAGCCTCATGAACACATGGGGTCAGTTTCAGATCACACTTGTGTCCTTGTTACACACCATAGTCCACGTCAAAAAAGATACTTCCATATTTTTAGTGAGTACATGAGATTTCATTCCATGTCCAGATGCACCATCCTTCATCGTATAGTCCTATTCCAAGTACACTCTTTTCCATCCCTGGGTTCCAACAATCGGCGCTCTGGAACGAACGTCCTCCACCGTGTGCTCAGGCTACCTTCATGTCGGATGGATGTCCCAGCGTGGGACTACTGGTCTGATGTGTTTCAAAAACTGCTACACATTGGCAGACTGCCCTCCAGAAAAAGGATCAGTACCTGTTTATCCATTCCCCCACCAGCACTGGGCACAGTGTTTGGTTCCCACTTTGGTCATTCTGATGGAAAATAAGGGGTCCAGTTTCCAGCTTCATTTCTTGGGTCACTAGGGACATGGACTGTGTTTTCATTTGCTTTACATTTCTCGTTGTGCAAATCAGCTGCTTGTTCCCTTTGTCTGTTTCCTGAGGAACTAGTGTGGTCGATTACTCTATCTAAAGACTCTCTGGCTCAGTTCCTATTTGCTGTGATCAGCTACTTGGTACCAGATGACTCTGGATGAGACTCACTCTTCCTCTCATTATCTAAATGGTCCCCTGTTGTCAGAGGACAGCTCACCAACTTCCAGATGTCTTCCAGACCCAGGCCATGTGGGGTGACCCTCTCCTCAACCCCCCTTCCTTTCTCTGTCCTCAGGGCTCAAAGTCATGGCTGCTCAGCCCAGATCGTGTAGGGCTGGCGAGCGCGCTTCATGTGGCTCTAGGTGATGGCATTACTTGGTCACCCAGCATGCGGTGTACCTGTCTCCACCACGTCAGTGCAGGCACAGTCACTGGCATGGCATGAGCACGTGTCAGGTGCAGCAGACGTGGTCTGCTTCCCAATGTTGGTGACCTGAGACGTCACTTTCTGAAAGCACGGCCTCTGGTATTTGATTTGCTCAAAGCTTTGCTCACGCATGGTTTCCCTTTGCCGTTGTGACCAACAGGTGTTCACCTTTTTTCTCTAAATGCATTTTTGTCTTGTTGCCTAAAAGAAATGCCAAAGCTTCTCGAAAGTACGGGGTGATGTGTCTGGAGTTTTCTACCCTTACCCACCTATGGAGAAGAGCCTCTATAAGCATGCTAGATGGCCACATACCACATTTGGCTTAGAAACATCTGAGCTATTGTAGTTTTTATTTACATGCTGTAACTGTCAGCCCCAGACTCTGGTTTGAAACTGCCATGTGGAATTAGCTCCAGCCAGGAAGACTGTAAAAGTACTTGGTGGGGCAGAAAGTGTCACTGTCCCTAGAATGTTCTCTGCACTGGGTGGCCAGAGGGGCCTACTGCCTCCATGCTGGCCACAGCCTCCCAGGATTTGAGGGAGACTGGAGGGTAGGTATCCCGGCTGAATGGGAAAAAGCCTGAGCATCCCACACCCCTGGGCTGCACCCGCCTTGCCAACCTCTGCTGCCTGTCCTGCATGTCCTGCTCTGTGTTGGTCCCTCACCCTAACCCTGCTCTCTCTACCTCCCCAAACTCCTGCCCCCTTTCAGAAATTGACAGCAGTGACATGTCGGCCCATGTCACCAGCCCCTCTGGCCGCGTGACCGAGGCAGAGATTGTGTCCATGGGGAAGAACTCGCACTGCGTCCGGTTTGTGCCCCAGGAGATGGGTGTTCACACAGTCAGCGTCAAGTACCGCGGCCAGCATGTGACCGGCAGCCCTTTCCAGTTCACGGTGGGGCCACTCGGCGAGGGGGGCGCCCACAAGGTCCGTGCAGGAGGCCCCGGCCTGGAGAGAGGAGAAGCAGGTGTCCCAGGTGAGCATTCGGGCAGGCTTTTTACTTGGGTAGAAGACAAGGGGCCTGGCGGTGTCAGCACCCTGCACCCTTCACCCTATTCCAGAGAAAGACTCAGTGTATGTGATTCCGATGGTGGTTGTTAAGGGGCATTCTTTAAAACAAGGCTTCTGTAGGGGCGCCTGGGTGGCTCAGTTGGTTAAGCATCCGACTTCGGCTCAGGTCATGATCTCACAGTTCATGGGTTCGAGCCCCACGTCAGGCTCTGTGCTGACAGCTCAGAGCCTGGACCCTGCTTTGGACTCTGTGTCTCTCTCTCTCTCTGCTCCTCCCCCACTCACGCTCTGTCTGTCTCTCTCTCTCAAAAATAAATAAACATTAAAAAAAATTTTTTTTTAAACAAGGCTTCTGTGGCTAAACATGTTTGGGAATGGCTCGCTGACCCAAAGCTAAACAAGTTTCTCACGGGGGCACTCCTCGGAGCCTATATCATGACTGAGTGTGTGGGCGTCGGAGTGAGGAGCAGACTGACGAAGCTCTTTGTAGAGCATCCTTCAACACTAACATTCCGTGGAACACACTAGAATTCTACAAAACCTATTGTAGTGGTGGTTGCTGGTGGGAAGATCTACAGGGACAAAAACGGAACATTCTCATCTTTTTCTGCCTTAGTTGGTGTGTTCAAAGATGTCTCGTTTCTTATGAACTTAATGTTTTCATGGATGGTGCTTGGGAAACATCAGTGATTCCTTCCCTTAGGGCCCTGCTTGGGGTTAAAGAAAAAGACAGCAAATGTAACCCAGCATTGTTTGAGCAAGAGGGCCTATCTGGGGCTCAGTCACTAACCAGGTGTTTCTTTATCTCAGCTGAGTTCAGCATCTGGACCCGGGAAGCAGGCGCTGGGGGCTTGTCCATTGCCGTTGAGGGCCCCAGTAAGGCCGAGATTACGTTCGATGACCATAAAAATGGATCGTGCGGTGTGTCTTACATTGCCCAGGAGCCTGGTATGTAACCAAGGACCAGCTGAGGACGTTTTCCTTGTAGGGGGATGGTTAGATTGTAAGGAGCAGAAGCCTGTCAAGCTAGCTCAATGAAAAGAGGAATTTGTCTGTATGGACGCATGGGAGCATCTCCTAGAAATCATGTCAGACCTCCAAGGGGCAGGAATTCTTGTTCTCTTGTCCTTCTCTGTTGACCTCTCTGCCTCCGGCTTTCATTCAACCATGTCATTCTTTCCACGGACCAGCCTTCTCCACCCATCCTTGGCCACTAGCTGTTGTGGCTTCTCTGAAAGAGTGGCCTCAGCATCTGAGCTCCCTTGAGTGGCAGCTCTTGGCCTTTTGTGTGCCATGGATCCCTCTGGGCATAAAACCTATGGGGACTGTTCTCAGGATAATGTTTTAAAACATATAGAATAAAATACATTGGATTATAAAGGAAATCAATTATAGTAAAATGTAGTTATCAAAATCTTCAAGAAATGTGTCACACAGCAACAGATGGTTATCTTCATTAATACATTAAATCGTAGGATTTGGTGATGGTCTATTAGCTACCGCAATTTCAAAATAGTGGTAAGTATAAATGACATGTCAAGTTGTATGTAAAACTGTAAAGTGATGAAAAATGTTTGTGATCTTTGTTGGTGACAAAGTCACAAGTGCTTCTAATGTGCCATGGTTTCTTGTTGACATTTCTAAAGAAAGGAAATGCTACATTTTAGCTCGAAGTTAGTGAAAATAAAGATAAAATTTTTGTTTCCCCATTCAAGTTTCATGGGTCTCCTGAGCTGTATACACAGGCCATTGGAGAGGGCCTGTGGACCCAGGTTAAGAATCTCTGCCCTTGCCCAACTAAGAGAATCCTATTGGCTCGGCTTCAGCCAGGTGACCTGCCCTCAACCCACCAGCCATGGCCACGGAGGGGGGGTAGGATCTCTTGGAAGACATTTCAGTCCTAGCAAAGAAGCAAGAGACTGCTCTGGAACCACCTTCGCAGAATCTCTGAAATGATGGGACTGTCCTGTCCCCACAGGTAACTACGAGGTATCCATCAAGTTCAACGATGAGCACATCCCCGAAAGTCCCTACCTGGTGCCAGTCATCGCGCCGTCCGACGACGCCCGCCGCCTCACTGTTCTGAGCCTTCAGGTGAGACGCAAGGAAGCATCCATCTCATTGGCCACAGGCCAACCAGTGAAGCCCTGGACTCCGGAGGCCGCTTCAATCCCCTCAGTCAAGGGCCCATCCCGGTTTGACCGCACATGCTGCCAACTTATAGGGGAGATTTCCCATGGCAGAGTCAGCCCCCGCCCCCACACTGAGGACAGGAGACAGTTGGGGCAAGTGAACACAGAGCCACAGTCAACGAACACCTCAGCGTTTGAGAACAAGTTTGTTTTTTAAATAGTTATTCAAGAGAAACAAAGGAGGCCTGTTAATAATTGGTTAAGCGATAAGGAGGGCTTTCAAACAGAACAAACACAAGACTAACAGTCCGTTGATGTTTTGCCTACTATTTTTGGCTTCCTTTTTGTCAAGTAAGTCAATTGTGATTGATTTTACTACGGTGATTTATTTATAAGTGTGCAAGGCACTGTGTAAGAACTTCATCAGTATTACCTTGTTAAATCCTTGCAACAGCCTGGTCAGTAGGTTTCTCTTGACCCCATTTTAAAGATGGAAAAACCAAGGTATAGATTGGTTATGGCTACCAGGAGCCAGCTAATATGAGGCAGAGTGAGGTCTCTGTGGGTCCAGAACCTGTGGTTTTAACGGTGGCCTCCTTAATGCCCACCCTGGCACAGTGGCCTGTGATTACAGTCTTAAACAGGCTCTTGAATTCAAGGTTGCATTAGAGCCGGCAACCAAACTAAGAACCACTAGAGATGCCTTTGTGTCTTTGAAAAATAACTAGGTGTCTGCATCAGGAGTAAGCAATTTGGTTGAGGAATAACACCACAATCCCAAAATCTGATTTTTGGTTTAGGGGCTTTCCAACTAGCTTTCAGCTACCCCCGGTTCTTAAAAATACTGAATGAAAACCCAGTCCTGTATCTCAGGTTGGTGATGTCATCGGATCTAGTTCCGTGCATTTGGTTTACATTTCAGATTCTGACCTTACCCTGAGGAGAATTGGAATTGCTAGTTGTTCGAAATATCAGGGAACCCAGACTGACCCCCAAACAAAAATCACGGTCCACAGATTGAAGAGGCCTCATCTGGAGCATACCAAGGGTGCTAGCTGGTCACTGTGGTGTAGATGTTTTTCTTGTGTTTCATTTAAAGGCTTCTTAACAGAAGTTCCTTTTGTGGCCGACTTAACTAAAACCTATGGAGGGAGATAAACCCAGCATTTGTTGAGGGCAAAGAACCGCCCTCATGCATCTCGAAGATTTCTTTCAGATCTTCTGAGGTGTTTATCTCTCTCTTGAGGATTTAGCGGCAAATGGATTCAGGTAATGTATATGGTTCTGTTTCCAAAAACCTGGTTTGGAGAAATCTTCTCCAGAAAACTTTTCTGTAGAGTCTTCTCAACACAATTAGGTCATAAATATTTGAGTATGTGTGCAGCAGGCTGTGTGTCTGTCAGGCGTTTGTAACCAGCTGCTACGGTAGAAGGGACGAATGTCAGCTTGTCCTGTTTTTCCTGGGTCACTTGGTGCTGAGTGATACGTAAATTATTTATCGGAGATTTGCTCGAGGCCTGCAGGCCCACATCTGGTGCTGGTTAGGAAAAGAGAGGCATGTATTGTTCTGTCCTGCTTTTAAGACTTTTTAGAAAATTGGAGTCGGCTGACATTTTGTGGAGGAAGGGTTGATGGGCTGGGGGCAATCTGGTGATCAAAGATTCCTTAATTTTGGGTGCAGTCCTCGCTCCCCAGTCTGTAAGCTCTGGCACAGCACACTGTAATAGGATGTTCTACAACAATGGAAATGTCTCACATCTCCCCTGTGCAATGTGGTAGGCACTGGCCACATGTGGCTATTGAGCACTTGAAGTGTTGCTAGTGTAACTGAGGAACCAAATCTTTATTTAATTTAACTGATTTAAATGTAAAAATATATAGTCACACGTGGCTAGTGACTACCAAATTAGGCAGTGCAATTTCAGTGCCTCGTTACAGAGATGTGGTCCCGGGTCAGCAGCCTCGGTATTGCCTGGGAATTTATTTATTTATTTATTTGTTGGTTTATTTTTAATTTTTTTTTTTAATATTTACTTACTTTTGAGAGGGAGAGAGAGAGAGAGAGACAGAGCGAGAGCAGGGGAGGGGCAGAGAGAGAAGGAGACACAGAATCCGAAGCAGACTCCAGGCTCTGAGCTGTCAGCACAAAGCCCGATGCGGGGCTCAAACCCACAAACCGTGAGATCACGACCTGAGCCAAAGTCGGACGCTCAACCGACTGAGCCACCCAGACGCCCCTCGCTTGGGAGATTTATTAAAATCCTAGAATCTCAAGGTGCCTGGGTGGCTCAGTCCATCAAGTGTCTGTCTCTTGATTTCAGCTCAGGTCATGATCTCAGTTTGTGAGTTCAAGCCCTACATTGGGCTCTGTGCTAATAGCAAGGAACCTGCTTGGGATCCTCTCTCTTCCTCTCTCACTCTCTCAAAATAAATAAACTTAAAAAAAAAAAGACATTTATGAAAAAAGGAAAGACAAATGGTACCATTCAGCAGTCTAAGTTTTGAAAACTGCCCTGGGGGCACCTGGGTAACTCAGTCAGTTAAGTGTCCAACTCTTGATTTCTGCTCAGGTCACGATCTCATGGTTCATGAGCTCAAGTCCCAAGTTGGGCTCTGTGCTAAAAGCGAGAAGCCTGCATGGGATTCTCTCTCTCCCTCTCTCTTTGCTCCTCCCTGCCTCTTGTTCTCTTTCTCTCGCTCTCTCTCAAAAAAAAAAAAGAATCCTAGACTCTCAGGCTGTCCTCAGACCCCCAGACCTACTGGATCAGAATCTGTATTTTAACAAGACCCCCCCCCCCCAAGTTCTTCAATCACACAGTGAGGAGTGGCTGTCCAATCAAGTTTATATCAAAACTGCTAACTTGTAAAATTTTGCAGTTCAGGACTGGCCAATCTTAAAATATCTTAAGCATATGGGACACCTGGGTGGCTCAGTCGGTTGAGCATCCGACTCTTGATCTCAGCTCAGGTCTTGATCTCAGGGTAGTGAGTTCAAGCCCCACACGGGGCTCTGCACTGGGCGTGGAGCCTACTTTAAAAATATGTATCTGTATCTTAATCATCTAGATCTCTAATTCCTTCCTCCCAGAGCGTGGAGGGTGAAACTTACCCAGTGAAGAGTGAAAGCTATCCTTTTCCCTATTGTGTTTTCAGCGGGGTACAGACAACTTCTAAATGCTTACTAATATTTAACGATTTTTTAGTCTTTCTGTGTACAGGTCGGGCCCTGTGCTGAGTGCTTCAAATGCATAACTTTATTTCATCCTCACAGTAGCTCTCTGGTATATATTTGGTTATTGTGCCCATTTTACAGATGAGGAAACCAAGACTCAAAGGTTAAACAACTTACATAGCCAGGAAGTGGTAGTCACCTAGGTCCTGCTGATTCTTAACCATATATAGTCCTTTACAAGTTTGTTAAACGTTGTCTCCATTCCTACCCTTGAGATAAAAAAGAGCAATGATATAAAACTTTGTTCATGTTGGTGACTACATGGTTTTGTCAGCTGCCAGGCTCCTCTTAAAAGGGGGCCCTTGGGGCATCACTTAAGTGTCTATTTTGGCTCAGGTCATGATCTCACCTTTCATGAGTTGAGGCTCTGCGTGGGTAGTGTGGGGCCTGCTTGGTATTCTTTCTCTCTCCCTCTTTCTCTGCCCCTCCCCCACTTGTGTGCACATGTTCACAAGCTCACTCGTGAGCTCTCTCTCTCTCTGTGAAAATAAATAAACTTTAAAAAGGTGGGGGGGGGGGGGGGGGGGGGTGGGACTTCCTTTTTGACCTGGAAGACACTGGGTTTTCTGGTTGTCCAGGTCTTGTTTGGGATGCAGAAACTATATAGTTTTGTTAACCGGATGACTGAGTCTCCGAATCAAGAAACTGTTTCTTCCAGCACGAATCAAGGCGCTAGACCACCCCACTGAGTGTCTCTACTGTCTTCTATTTAAAACCAGAAGCGTGCAACAAGCCACCTGCTCTTCTGTCGTCACATGTTATAAGGATAAACCTTCTGGGCCTATTTGCATGAGAACTGTCCCCTGGAGTCCCGGGTCGGGTCAGTGTATGCCACCAAAGGCCAAACACCAAAGGCCGTAACCTGTTTAATGTATTAAATTCTCAGGAATCGGGATTAAAAGTTAACCAGCCAGCCTCCTTTGCTATAAAGTTGAATGGGGCGAAAGGCAAGATTGATGCAAAGGTGCACAGCCCGTCAGGAGCCGTGGAGGAGTGTCATGTGTCTGAGCTCGAGCCAGGTAAGCCAGAGGCAGGGCGTGCAGGTCCCGGCATCTGCACCTCCCCGAGGCACATTTCTACAAACGTGCTCCCCAGCAGAGGACTAATGAGCCTCACGGAGGCCAGCCAGCCTTCAGATTCCCTTCTGCTGTTGTTGCCAGGCGTTGTTTACAAATCAGGGTATAAACATTTGCCAGGGACAGGGAGATGCTTTGGGATCTAGCCTTCCGTTTCTCTTTTCTAAACAAATACTGCTTTATTTTCGGTTGTTTTTCAGATTCCTTTCACATTACATTCAATTGTGATTTTTTTTCTCATATTTTAACAAAATCTTACAGATTTTTATTACGTTATTGACCTTATGACATGAGTAAGTACCATTTGATCTCACTTTACTCTGAGGGAAAAGTGCATTGAGGTTCATCTCTAAATTTAAATTTCAAAGAATCTGCGTCTCTAGTATGCTTAATAGCATAAGATTTTCCTGCCTGCTCCCTTGATGTACAGAATTCTCTGACATAATCAACGTTAACTAGCCGTTTTGCCAGGGAACATGTATTAAGTGTAAGAGACTTGGCAAGACGGTAAGGCATGATGCCTGCCCTCAAAGAGGGGCTCAGAGTGGACTGGGGACCTGGCCAGAAGCCTGCAGTGCCCTGGAGAGGACCCCAGGTGGTCACCGATGCCACAGGAGAACCAAGAACCAAATGGCAAAAATGATCAGGGCAGGAGAGAAAAATAGTTTCTGTTGGTGAGGCCCAGAGGGCTTCTCAGAGGAAGTGACGGTGAATGTGGGCCCCGAAGCTTGAGGAGGAACCCTGTGATCACTGCCTTTATTGGGCATTTGCTGTGTGCCCTGCCACATGTACAGTGAAGGTAGACATCTGGAGAGTTGGGGGGAGAACAGGTCTGCCTCCCAGGTGGGAGGGCTTCATGGAGGAAGGGGTGTTCAGGCGGTGCACGGCGGGTAGATATTCTCCGTGTCCATTTCAGTTGTGACAGATTATTTTGCCACATGCCGTGACCCAAACACACAGTGAAAAACCTGGCTGTTGCCCTGGCGGGAGGCACCTGCTAGCTTAGAGCTTAATTCAGAAGCATTAATGCCGGTTGGAACCAACTTTTTTCCCCTTCAAGCAGCCAAGTAGAGCAACTCTGTGAGAAGTGAGCTTTTCATAAAGCAATCTCCTGAGACAGACACCAGAGAGGATGAAACCTAGAATTGGAGATTTGGATGCATTTCCCAAAGGGTTGACAAGGGACGCAGAAATAGGCCCCCATCTGGTTTTGAAATGCAACATACTGGGTGCCAGGCTTCCAGTAGAGCTGTTGTCTTATGGTTTAAAATTCACCATCTCAGGCTGGCCTTCGCTCCATCGTCCTCACCTCGCATGGTAGTGTCTGCGTCCTCAGCTTTACCGTGTGCTTTGCTCGCTCTCCTAGATAAGTATGCCGTTCGCTTCATCCCCCACGAGAATGGCATCCACACGATCGATGTCAAGTTCAACGGGAGCCACGTGGTTGGAAGCCCCTTCAAAGTGCGCGTCGGGGAGCCTGGACAGGCGGGGAACCCTGCCCTGGTGTCCGCCTATGGCGCGGGGCTCGAGGGGGGCACCACAGGTAACACACTACCTCCGCCTCTCGTCTCTGACTGAGCCAGCGGGCGCTCATCAAGCTTCGGGAAGCCTTCTCCACACTCTCCTCAGGGAAGCTGCAGTAATGTGCACTTGGGGCCCTTGCTCTCCAGGGTTGTTTTGGGACGTGTGGTTTGGCCCACAATTAAGTCCAGAGCAAGGCCTTGATGACCGTGTTATCAACCTCGTTACTGTTTGCTATGCTTTGCCTGTCTTCCTTGGCCTCGTGCCTTGACTTCAGGGCCGGGACACTGATCATGATGGATTGCAGCACCCCATCTTTTCCTTTTGAGGGTTTCTTTGCCTGCACCGAACTCAGTGCGTGTAATGGGCCTCCTGGGAGGTCTCCTACCATTGGTTCCATCACACAGTCCCTGGGCTCCCAGAAACAACCTTGAATCGACAGTAGGACCTGTCATAGTCTCCTCCTTTGAATTTCCGGTCCTAACAGAGAAGGAGAAAAGATGGTGGCAGAGCTCTAGAGCTCTTTGGGCTTGTTACGATTTGTTTTTAGTCTTTGCCATGGATGGAACACATTTGACTGTGGAAGAGACAGGCAGCTAAGACATATAGAAACGAGACTGGCTCCGTCTCCTTGCTTCTCCCTCCCTCCATATAGAACAAAAGGAAACACCACTGGCAGTTCCGGGGAGGACCTTCTGACGTCCTCACGCTTGGTCGCTTGGTTGCTTAGCTGGTTCATTTGTTAAGAAGGTAGCATATCGTTTTGCTTCTATTTTACAGAAACAATCTTGTTGCACATATTGTACAACTTTTTTCACCTGACATCTTTTGTTTTTTAATGTTTATTTATCTTTGAGAGAGACAGTGCGAGTGGGGGAGGGGCAGAGAGAGAGGGAGACACAGAATCCGAAGCAGGCTCCAGGCTCCGAGCTGTCAGCACAGGGCCTGATGTGGGGCTCGAACTCACGTACAGTGAGATCATGACCTGAGCTGAAATCGGATGCTTAACTGACTGAGCCACCCGGGTGTCCCTCGCTTGACATCTTAAAGAACTTTCTGTGTCAAAACACAGATCTACCCGCCTTGTAATGGTTGCAGTTAGTGTTCATACCATGAACCTACAGGTGGGCATTGGGTGGGTCACTGGTATGGAGTGCCAGCTTGGGGAGCTTATCCAGTCACACTTCTCTGCAGGACATGTCCATAGACACAGACTCACTGGGACACAGTTTGCACTGGGTGTTACTTTTTTTTTTTTTTTCATGTTTTTATTTTTGAGAGAGAGTGCGTGAACAGGGGAGGGGCAGACAGAGGTGGGGACAGAGGATTTGGAGCGCGCTCTGTGCTGACAGCAGAGAGCCTGATGCAGCATTTGAATTAAAAAACCATGAGATCATGACCTCAGCCGAAGTTGGACGCTTAACCGACTAGAGCCACCCAGGCACCCCTGCACTGGGTATTACTTTGGGCCTTTGGAAGGCAGCCCAGTCCCAGGCTCGAGTCCCTCATGTGTATGCATTTTGATCAAGTCTCCCCCGATGCCGTGAGGGGGTTAGAGCAGACCTGCCTCCCACTGGGCGATGGGATGAGTGGCTGTAGTTACCTGGCATCCAGCCCTAGGGAGCCAGTGTCTTAAGTGGCCGAGGGGCCCTGCCCAGGTGCAGGAGTGACTGACGGGCTGGCATGCCACCCCAGAACTCTGGTCAAAGCAGTAGCCTCGACAGAACCACCCACAGGGGTGGTGTAAGTGCTTCTGGACTCCCCAGGCCCATCCAGTCTGCCTCCACACTGAACTCTGGGCCAGCAGCTTGCCCCTTATAGGAGGCATGGTAACACTTCACCCTAGGCCATTCCATTTTACAGATGAGGAAAGTGAGGCTCAGAAACATTGAGTCACTCCCTAAGCTTACTTAGCTGAAAGAGCACAGGACCAGGAATCAGTCCAGGTCCATGACTCAAAGCCTATGCCCTTAACCCTGGTGCTTTGCTGCCTCTCTCAGTGGCTGGCTCGCTCAGAGGCAGTGACTGCACCTGTGCCCCAATTTGTGGGGTATCCTAAACCAGGACCCCTGTTCTCCCAGCTGCCCTGGAACGGTTCCCGGGCAGTAGTGCAGGCGTTTGGTCCCCGGCAAACCACACACCATTAAAGACCATGTGGGGTCCTCCTGGCCTTTGGAACCATGCATGCCTTGGTCCAGGTCCCACAGCAGCCACTGAGGTCTCCTGCAGCTGCCAGCAGCCACCTCACCCTCCTGCTGGGTCACACCTGCTGCGCTCAGGCCTCTCCTGCTTCCTCTTGGCTGTTCTCATGCCTTCTCGGGAGCTTGGGTTTCAGGCTGTGCTTTGCAAGCGCTGGATGCCACTGAGAGAAGGGGCCCGTCTTGCAGGGAAACTCCCAGCCAGGAGGGAGAGGTACAGAGCAGGCCTGTTTTGAACCCTGTGTAAATATTGCTCTTGTCAAGGGGAGGGCGTCTTGTTTTTCTAGCCCTCCTGCTCCCAAGCCTTTTCCCAAATATCCATCCCAAGATTACACAGCTGTAGTGTGCATGGAATGAAAAGGTATCTATGCTTGGCTGCTAGAGGGCCTGGCATCCTGACCTTCAGAAAAAAGCAAACTCTCTGTGTTTTTATGGGTAGGCTTGCTGTATCTCTTGGCGTGAGCTTGAAATGGCCCATTCTGCAGGTTTTGGAGCAGGGGAATGTGATGAATTTGGGGTGGGACTTTCTGTTGCAGAGGAGTTGAGAGGTCAAGAGTTAGACCAGGGAGTTCTAGACACTCGGATTGGGAGAGCAGCCTGAAAGGCTCCAGCATCCCCAGGGTGCACGAGGGGGATCGGAAGAGCCCCCTTCCCTCCCCGGACCCCTCGCCCACCTTCACGATGGAGTAGCGCTGCAGTAAACATGCACTGAACTCACAAGAACTCAGCCGTGCATCTGCGGGGTTGGGGGGGAGGATTGCTATGCCCGAGACGTTTGGGGTACGTATTGGTTCTAGCTGGAGGCAGTGGACAGAGGGACTCCTGCATGTGGATTTTCTTTCTCCTGACTTCACTCAGGCAAGTGCCTTAGGTCCGGGCTGGGCAGATCTTGTGTTTACATCCCAGCCCTGCAATTCCCCAGCCGTGTGACTTGGCGCAAGAGATTTGACCTCACCGAATCTCCACTTCCTTCCTGTAAAATGGGATTAATGAAGGAGCCTGCCCGATAGGTTGTTCCAGGTAGCTCTTGCCCTGCGATTCCTTAGTTGCCTTTTCCCACTTCAGCTCCCCTGTCTTTCCGAGCCCTCACAGCCAGGATTCACGGATCTTTCTCAGGAACCGAGCAACTTGTTAAAATCGGTGGGGCTTCACTACAGCCAGGTCTTTTCATCTTTACTTCAAAAATATCTTTCCTTATCATTGCCTTGCAGCTACTTCCTGGAAATGCCGTCCCCTTGTTGATCAACACCCCTTCCTTCCCCGCACAGCCTCGCTCTGCAGCTGCTGCATGAGAGGCTTCTTGGCTCTACAGTTCAGAAATAAGGTTCAGATAGTTGGGG